ACGTGACCCGCAATCAGGCGGCTCAATCTGTTCCTCTTTATCGCAATACCCGCATATCGACGAAACTGTTATCGTTTTTTTAATGAAGCTTAGCAGGTTCTGTTCCGCTTAAGCGACTTAATCACTGATTACAAAAATCGAAAGCTTGCTTTTATCTTTGCGTGTGCGTTCCTTGACGTTTGCACATCCATTTGCAGTAGAGATTGGAAACTCGAAACTGATTTCAGAGCTTTAAAGCAAAAAGTATTAGAATGGGATTCATTCCTTAGATCTACACTGGGTGTAACTGACCGTGACAGAGGGGCAGAAACCACTCACACGGCTGTCTTAGGTTTCGGTGAAGGACCATGCTCGACCAGCAGTCAATCTGTCAATGAGTAGGGAAGATTAATCCCTGAGCAAAAGTCGAACCCGACCATCTGAGCCCAACGGAACAAATGCTAGTGAACGCATGACATATGAAGGGGTTCTTTAGTTATAAATACAAATCCACCAGCAAATATTCTTAAATGTCCATATTTTAGAAATCTGCAAAACCTGTAATCGATTATACTCTTTGTTTGGGCTCTTTTTTAAAATAGAATCGGTTTAATCATCAGTGAAAGAATGTATTCGATGGCTACAAAGTGATTGTCTCGCTTTGGCACCGACCTGTGACCCAAGGCTTCGCGGGTCACCTTTATCCTAAGTGTAAACGATTTCTTCATTATCCATGTGATCCTGTTCATCGTATCCTAAGAATTCGAAATCCAGTTGCCCGTGGAAAACTTTCCAGCCAACAATCCACTTGTAATAAGGCTCGTTGTGGTTCAACCGCTATCTTCATGTATCTGGCTGACGATTCGTTTCGGAGCACGGCGATAGCATCTTCCTTTGCTATGACCTCCGTTTAAACGCTCATTTCAGTTCTATTCACCATCAATCTTCAGCCTCCAAATAGCGGCTGCCGATCTGATAGCACTCAGCGACCGACAGAACCACTCCGCTCATATCGCCGCCTTCCCTCTAGTTCTATTCCTTCTACGTTAACCTCAACAATAAACCCACTTGCCGCAGAATTAGTTTGCTAATTAAACCTGAATTAATTATTAGTTAATTATTATATTTGATTAGTTATAATTACTAATTATTTAAATATTAATTATTAATTGACTGTTATTATTAACAATTAGTTTTTCGCCACAATGCTACTCTTAAATAGGCGAAAATGTTCAGCCTAGAAGAGTGCTATGATATCCAGGTGAGAAAAGGTATTTTTTGTGGATTAGAAACGAATCTTCTGGAATATCCGTAGCGCAACGGCGTCACTACGTATCCTTTCTACGCTTTAGACATCCGAGGTCGTTCAACACTTCAATCAAACTAATCAGTTTTAATGATTGACGTAAAAGTTGCTCGGGTTCGAACTAGTTACGGTATATATTCAGTAACCGCACATACTAACCATGACTGCTCGCCAATATTTCGGCGTCTTAACTTTAATTAATTTTGATTAAACTATTTTTTCCTGAAAAATTTTACTCTTTTTTGAATTCTGTTGAAGAGAAGTCTTTTTCGCTTTTTTCTAATGTAATTGCTTTGTCAATGCAATATGAAGTGCAAATAGGGTCTTCCATCGGCCTGTTCCAATCGTTGTGATAGTATGTCGAATCTCACTTCAGAAATATGGCTTTTCTACACTTCATTCTTGAATTAGAAGAAATGGAAGACGTATCGTATTTTATTGCATGTACACAGAAATGGTGCATACCTTCTGTGACGTACCATGCCTAGGAGAAGACTGTTCTTCCAGGTGATATCCTCAGTGACTGTTTTACTTCCCCACCATTGAAATGGATGGATGAGCTCGACTCATTGTTCGTTAAACGAGTGATTACCACTGTTCCAGCTTTTTTCAAGCCCGTAGCTGGATTCAACAAAAATTCCGACGCTCTTGTTGACGTCAGTTCTCAGACATGGAGCAATACCACTGCACTTTGTAGTCTCGTAAAACCCAAACATGTCAGATCTACTTTTCGAGTATACAGAACCTCTGTTAAATCTTAAAATCCCATAATTCTAGCAAAACTTCCACTGAACATTGTTACATTTAGAGATCTTTATCTATGGCCACTTTAAAAGAAACTGCTTCTTAAATGGACACAACATGGTAAACATGGGGCGTTGTTCTGCTTTTACTTCCTGTAGCGGGTGCTAAAATAGTTCATTTGCCGATGTATTAAGGGTGACGTAGGCATAATACCCATTTTTCATTTCGGGTTTTCTGTAATACCCCTCTTGCACAAAGAAAGGGAAGAATTCTCCAGAATGATACAAAAAGTTCACATTCAAATAGCATTCTCATCACAGAAAATCGATGTTCAGTAAGAGCACATGTGACGATTTTCCCTTTACCTTCATTGTGTTTCCACATATTCTGGTGCCCGTAGAGAAATTCCATCCCATTCTGAGTGCCCAGAGACGTAGACAAATCAGTGTAGATGTCAACTTTGGTCAATTTGAGCCACTTGAACAACGAGACCGTGGTATTTAGTGCTCGTCAACAGTGGCATCGTGGCATTTGGTGTTCCTTAACAACCTTTCCGTCTAGACAAACCTGTGAAAACAATGCAATAGGGAATAGGGATCGTATACCAAAAATGTCCTATGAACTAACTCATTGCTGACCTAAAAGGGCTTTATCGCACATATTTCCATCGTGTAAGTGCTGAATGTATCATGAACAGTTTCTTGGGTTTAAGGCTTTACCAATAGACAGCAACTTGGCTGAATCCCGGCTTAAGCGACTGAATTAGAGAACCAGCTAGCGGAGCAGCACGAAAAAATTCATTGTGTAGTCGTTGGTAATTGTTGTCGCAATATTCCATAGTTAGGGAATTTTAACCCACTAGCATATTTTCTCACAAATTCATACTGGCTGTTGCCGTAGTTTTAGTAGACTGCCATCAAAAATATGCCATTCTCGTCTCGATGATTCTAGATTTTAGGAAACATGCTTTTCAGAGCTTTTAGACACCTCTTCAACATGGCCTCAATAGAGTTTCTTAATTGACTCTCAATGGAGGCCTACAGTAAACCTTTCCAGCTTTCTTGGAATGGCAGACTTTAATCTCACTTGTCTGCTGTAAACACGGGGAATAAACATTCTCGATACAAGCTTTAAATTGATAAACTAGACAGAGATGAACAGCCTAGTGAAAAAAATGACTGGGCAACGAATCACGCAGGCGTTTTCGCATCTTCCTGTTCATCTGACCGGGCTGTAAAATTAGTACTAGCAGCCTTAACTTTTCTTAATGTTTTAATATTATGAAAAAACCAATGACATCCATTGTTTTTACGTTTCAAAGCGAGTTCCGTTCTTTAGAACTCTTGTGTGAACTACACATTTCCTTCAGGATAAAAATATTTGCATGGCAGCGTTATCGGCCACAAAACAAAACAAAATACAAAGAGGGTGACCCTTCATAGACAGTTATTGAAATATATGTGTCTGATGTATACAAGCTGTCTGATATTTTCCTTTTCGTGAATGCTTTCGGGATATCGGTTTAGTTGTGGCGTTCAATTCCATTGAAAAACAGACTTACTATTTCTTCTTGAAAAAACTATCTATTCAAGCCACTTCGGAGTTTTTCCGCCAAAAATTTGACGATTAAGTCAGCGTAACAGGATGATTCATTGTTTTTTCGCGTTCTGCTCACCATTCGCTTTTTCCTCCATTTGCTTCGAACTTTTTGTTGCTATGAGAACACGCCGAACCGTAGGTGATCCCCAAGTGGGTGGCCTTTCCAGCAACAAACCGTCAATGCTTGTTTCGCTTTCCTGTTCTTTTACTTTTATACAATCGACGTTGAACTCTTCTTGCACTTCAGAAAAGCCACTTTTCGGCGCGGGAAGCCCCGATGTTTTGAGGCATAGAACGAGATCCTTCGGGTTCTTGTGATACGATGGGACAGCACCGAAAGTTCCTTTTTGTTTCCTTTTTGAACGATCGTCGTTAAACACTACTCTTAAAGTAAACTATCGACAGGGAAGGACTTCAGAATTTCGCGCCAAGAATCCAGTTTTCAGGGAAAAGTCTTTGTGATACCACCCATCCTTACGCTGTTTACTAGTATTGTACTACTGAAACCGGAAAATTGTGCGCTCAGCCGTCTGTGCACGCTTAGCAACCGGTTCGGGACATTGCCTAGACATCAAAGGTGAGATATTCCACGTAGAGGTATCCTTGACAGTCATTAAGAACCGATGTTCAGATCCTCAGTAGGAAATCTCGAAAATTAGGCACGATTTCAATCCATTACTCTTGCATTCTTAAGGAGTTCAAGTATAATATGGAGCCAGTTTAGTCGACCTTTTTCACTTTAGAATGAAACTAGATAACTTCTACATGGAAAATTCCCATTCTCAATGGAATTACTCATTCATCGCATATTCAGTGAAAGGTGGTAAACCAGCATAAATAGATTAAAAGAAAGGGCAGCAAGGGAGCACGAAGGGAAGGGCATGGTTCGAAAATGTCGGAAACGCAAATTGACACTCTCATTCCGATCATTGGATTCATTAAATATGCATAGTTTCTAAAGTTTAACTTTTTTTACTTATTGTCCATGGCTTTTTTGTGGTAAGGTTTTATATGAGATATAACCACAATGACGTGGCAATATTACCGCTGACAGGTAATTGCTGATGGCACCATTAGGGTAAAAACAAACTGGCTGAGAGAAAGGTGAATCAATTTGCTCAGTGATGCAACGGGTAACAAGTGAGCCTCCGGAAAGGATACTTGCGCGTTCGAATCTGGTCTGGTGTTCAACCTTTGCAAATATCTCAGCATCGTTGTAGTTTCTAAAGTATTCCAGCGTTCTTGTAGTGTTTTACAGCCAAGCATAATGTATTTTAAAAAACTAAAGTCGCAGTAGATCAAACAATTGTCCGCCTTTAGAACAAATTTGCTGCGATTTCTCCCTTCCTATGCTTTCCTCTTCAACATCAATATGCTTGAATATCAAGGAATTGATCAAGACGCATACATATCGAAAGGACACAAATTTATTAACGAGTACGTGGAAGGGACTCGATACAATACAAACTTCGCTCTGACCAAACTTTTCTCTGGAAAGGGGTGTTTTGAGGAATCGAAAGTGCCGGAGAAGTCGGCGTTCGATGACGGAGCGCTCCTTCTTCTCATGAAGCTGAACACTCTGGTGGATGTGACGCAGTGGTGAGTCGTCGTCGCTAACATATGCACCAACTAAATGACTCATGTTAGTCGACTAGCCGCCCTCTCACGTCTTCCGCAATGCTCCGTCATCACGTATCGCGCAATCCAGTACAGCATCAGAATCTCTCCCGAAAATCTCTGCGATTCTCGGCCAAAATCGGAGGTGAAATGACAAAGAATGAAAAGTCGTTCGGCGTCGTCGAAAAATCCCTGAAGGATGCACCATGAATTCGACTTAACCAAGGTGATTGAATGCACATTTGGCCTATACGGTAACTTGTGGTGGCCTATCGACGTACCAAATTAGTGTTCCTATATCCTCCCACACCAATATGCTACCACTTTTCCGACCCAGAGGGATGAAAGTTTTGGTTAGTCAGAAGAACGAAAACTAGCCAACCAGCGATCTCGTATGTATTTTAGAGAACCTCCAATAACAGCGCTACCACTCACGCCACACATCAGAATACTTCAGTGGCCTACACGTCAACATCGAGTGTATCATGTCCACATGAAACCTGAGGAACTTGGCACGTCACTGTCTAAGTGAACAATGCCCTGTCGGCGTTCCCGAATCAATAAATATTTGCACTATTCAATTGGTTTTATTTCAAATCAAATACAATCGTACTTTAAGTTCGAAATAAAAAGGTGCAAACAGAATCCTTCCATTCCGAAATATTAAATTTTTTATCGAATTCGACGAGAGTGCAACTTCAACCGGTTAACTGTCCTCAAATTATGAAGCCAAATACCGTTTCTGCATTCATTTGTCTCTCTCTTCACATTCCCTCTCCCTTTGCGCTTTTGGAGGTTTGGTCAAATGAATCTAGGGAAACGTCCAGCTATTGTCTGTCGGAACACAGGTTTTGCTTCAAAACCTTGCGTAACCATCGATCCAGACTGCTCAGTGTTATTCAGAACCGGTTAGTAGTAGAAGCGATACGGCAACATTACTCGATTGCTGGTAATCCACTTCCGTGTTTTCATCGCAAGAAGTGGAGAAATGCGGTACTAGATAGTTACAGTGAGGTATTCCTCGATGAGTCAAAGGTCTAGCCATCATCTGAAGATCACATTAGTTTCGGCAATATGTGACAGCAAAATCCTCCCTACTGAATACATACTGGAGCTGTCGGGAGCTCAGTAGTGAAGTGGCTGCCGCCCTGTGCCTTCATTACTTTCAGAGTTCTACTAGTGTTGCCAGTTCGACGGCGAATCCATCAATGCCCGCCGGGTGCCGGAGCCGGACCGCCTCAGTGGGCGGGGCAGGCGATTCGTGAGAATCTGGCTCGTTGCCAGGCGGACGACGTAATGGGCGGAGCCTGGCGACGACGGCAGCCGAACAAGCGCCATTATTGAACGGGCAGCGGCCGCCCTCAACAGCCTCTCGGCTGGTCCCGATCCCAGCATGGTCCTGTCGCAGGTTGTCCCGGATCTTGCTGGGCCTCCATTCTTTTCAGTTCTTTAGTGTTTGTGTCATTTATGACCCTGTTTGGTCCTCTTGGAGAATTCTCTTGTCCAACACTTCGTCCTCATTAATTTATTCTATGTGTAATCTCATCGTTGAACGAAAACAACAAACCATTGAAGGCTACGGTAGAAGAATGAAAGGAGAACGCGCGGCTCGCTTTCAGATTCAACAGATGGGCTGTAAAACCATGTCGCTTGTTCTAAACTCTGGGTTTATGTTACCACAAATGCCGCGTCTTCCGACCGATTCCCTTTTACTAGGGTCAAAGTGTCTGCTCGTCCTTTAGGGTAATCCGATACGTGTTTGTTGACTTGGCGTCGGCTTACCATCGTCTCTGACCTCTGTTACCCTTTGCATTGACCCCCCGGCCTAACAATTACGAGTCGACCATTCGAATATCCTCCCGACTGCGACCGACATAATGCGCCGACTTATACGGCCGGTCGCTCCAACCCGCAGATCGGCATTACTCTTCATATACTGTATCACCGTTCGAGTTAGGGCGTTGTCCAACACCAGAATTCCTTTTTTGAACGGATGCTTTGTTTATCATGTACGCATTTTAATCGAAACAACATCATCTCATTTGAATATCCCGTTCTCGCTACTGCATGCATCCTCGCCGTGACTAATGCCGTAAAATGTAAAACGCTACAGTTGTTTCCGCTTTTAGAATGTCGTCGGCGAGCTCTCCTCTCACTACAAAAAGATCGGCTCGGCGGTGTCTTTTCGGTCGTGCTGATCCAGCCCTCACCCAGCAGTGGATAAATGAGAGACTCGAGGAGATTCGCAAGAAGGAGGAGGCGAAATGGGGTTTCAACTTCTCTTACGAGATTCCTCTGCCAGGAACTTCTGAGTATACATTTACTGCTATCACTGAAGATTCCGTGCCTCAGTTTTACAGGTAGGATTCTGAGTACCTCGGACAATCTTTTTATTTTTCCAAAGCGAATCCACTTTTACTTTTATTGCTAGTGTAGTTTTTAAAAATGCTCATTATAGAACAAAAGTGATATCAACCGGTGACAATTCTCCCACGAAAGAAAATCGAACAGATTTGTCGACGTCAGATGACTCAGATTCGTCTATTATGGACATCTCTGTGAGTCCTATCACGCCTGCTAAACGCGAACATGCGACACCGAAGAAGCGTTTCGGGAAAGTCACGGGTAGGTGGTGCTTAGATCTATAGAGATTCATCTCGAAGTCCTCAGATGTTCTTCAATAATCAGCTCGTTTCAGACTATATGGCTGTGCGCAAGAAGCGTCTGCAACATTCTCCAAAGCGACTGGACATAGTGTTGCCCGACGGCGGACGTTTAGCAGCACGTGTCTAAACCATCTGAACTAGTCCGAGGGTCTTTGCCCTCGCCCACCCTGTGATACCAAAGAGCGAATCCAAAGCTCCTTCGGGTCGTGACTTTCCTCTTTATCAGTTTATCCTTTGTCCTTTCAATTCGTCTTCTGTTCATTCGGCCTATGGTGTTGCCAAATGTCTCATGTGATGCTCTAAGCATTCACTATGTAGTCTCATTGTCGTCGTCATACGTGCAAAGTGTGAAGCATTGATTTCAGATAAATAGATTTTATGAGTTTTACAATGCATTGTTTTGCGTTTCGTCAGCGTTGTAGATGGGGAGCGCAGGTGGCGCGCAGTTATCAATCTGTAAACAGTCATATCTGAATGATATGCCTCGTGGTAACGATCGATAGTGCGATGGAATCGTGGTCCGCAACTGCAGAAACATGGAAGCTGAATCTTGCTTGCATGCTAAAAAATGCATTATTCGGGCTATTTGACCGCGGGTTTGCCAGCGTAGAGGAAAAACCCACCCGTGTGACTTTCGGTTTTTTCCCGTCTCCGAACCCAGCACGAGAGGCCATTTATATCTGAAATGACGAACAGGAAAAAGCAATTCTCATAGAGGTCTACGGACTGCGGAGATGACATGCGATGCAGATTGAGCGAGAGAAAATGATAGAAATTCATGCCTCGCGGATAACACGACTTTCGAAACAACTTTGTATCTCACGGAACTGGTTTTCGAACGTTTATACCCTTATACGAAAAATTTAGACTAGCAGCGTACCACCGCTTTACGAATGCAACAGAGAAGCAATGCAGTATAGCTTTTCCCGATTAAAAATTCAGATCTGCACTTTCATAAAGTACCACGTTGTTGTTTCGACTTTCTCGGAACTGCTGCCTAGGCATGCACGTTTATCCAGCTGATCCTGGTTGCTTTCCTTTAAGAAGTGTCTTCTACACTTTAACTCTTCTTCAGTTGTTAAGAACCAGAACATGTGGCTGTGCACGCCGAACTCAATTTAAAAGCCAGTGAAATCATTTACACTTTGACACTGATAGAACTTAATTCGTCACTGATCACCAGGGCAGTAGCGGCCGTACCTCGGATGCTGGCAGTGCGTAGGAGGGATTCTGCGAATCGCGGTCGGTACGAACTGGGTCGGCTGACCGGTGGGCTTTCGCCTAGCGTCCGTCCGATCCGGCTATCGCTCGCCGTGGCTGGCATATTGTTGTCTGACCTCCGTGGGGATTATCCAACAAAGACCTAGGCCCATCGATCGTCACGACCCGATCATGACGCGTTGCATAATGCGTTAAGTGCATGCAACCACATCACAATTATCCAACACCTTATTAACGTCGTTAACGTCATTCTTTTAATGACAGTTGTAAGGATGGCGATGACTCGTCTAGTTCTGTGTTATTTCGTTTGAAAACCTTTGCCTATGTTATGTGAGAACTACCGCTATCTATCGAAATGAAACTTTTGAAAAATTCTCTTAGGCCTTTGATATGAGACTTCAAAATATTATAACTGCTTGAGTCAGCTGCGCTACAACTACTGAAGAATACGCAATCGTGCTGTAAAAGCAAAAGCTATGGGCTAGTTTTGTGATTGGATATGGAACAACTTTTCATCTTTAGTCTTTCAAAAGAGAACGAAGTTTGTCTTTTGCGTGACTGTGGTAATTTGACATACAGTATCCCAAGTAATTCTCCTACCACGTCTTTCTCTTCTCTTATTGCGTGCGAGAGCGTAGTATTTCAATGGAAATTGATTCGAACATATCCGGATACGATGACATCCGTCGTGCAATTCTCGACAAATGAAAAACTTTTCACCCGATGACGCTGAAAGTGTCGCACAAAATGACGCAGTGTGATTCGATAAATGTATGGAACTCAATTCATTGAACGCAGTGAGTTTTATCCGTCTTTCTCCTCCACGTCATAAAATCTGTGCCACCTTAACGCAGACAACTGCTGGCTGAACTGAGCTGACCGCTACTTTACAGCGGCTTCCCTATGAGCTACGCGAGCGTCACGGTCACCTGTCACGGAGTTTCATAAGCCAAGAAGAAAAAAAGAGTTGTTTACCGAAAACTGTGAATCGAGCGGAGAGATGCGGGGTTTTTCATTCTTCTTTTTATGAAATCGACCGACTTGAAAGTGCTCTTTGTGTTTCTCGGGCTTACTGACACTTTACAACGGCCTCCAATCGAAGAAAAAATAAGTACCACAATATAGCTTCCGACATTATAACAATGGAGAAACTCTCTATAAACGTCGAAATATTATAAGCATATAGAGAACATATTCTAGCTTTTCGTATTTCGTAACAAATACTATGTGACCACTGTCGGATCGATAGCTGTACCCATTCAAGTTTGTCGTGAGGTCGTATAGGGTCAGCATTACTTTATTGAGGGACGGACGTCGCTCAGCTGTAGCATTCTAATGATTAAACCGTCATTGTAAACAAACACTAAGGAGCGGTCGTCTGAGGTCTAGGACCGGGTCTGCGCCTCCTCGCTTGGCTCACTGCACCGTGGCACCTGCCCTTTGAAGATGGGCGACATTGTACATGCTCTGTTAATCAGACATCTCTTTGTTGTCTGCCGAACGTTAGACGATGCAGACGGAAATTATGACGAACGACCCGTCGGTGGCACAAAGCTGACCTAATCCCATCAATTAGGCCTTGTCACTGTTGAACAATCGTGCTGGAGCAAGTACTAATCGAATTTGCATTTTCTATATGCTTATCCTGTAGCGGCACTTTCTATAGTGATATCGAGTGCTACATAGCTGTATATTCCTAGTTCTAAAGAAAGCAGAACTTCATCTTCAGCAAGTAAAAACGTCTATAACGTGGTCCATAGTTCAATAGAATATATTTCGTGTTTTTCGATATTTCTAAAACAAACGTGTTCAGAAGTCTTCGTCCTAAATTGGCTGCAATCGCATTGAGCTGAGAATTTGCAAGCGCGTGATCGAATTTGAATCAGCGACTCGAGTAAAGAGGGGCTAGAGGAATCGATTTCTTCCAGACTAAGCTGGTTCCATATGTTAGGCGATAACCCTGCGATGTTGGCTTGTGCTTTACGAGCGCTCGTACGGTGTTCCTTCGTTCCGAAGTGGTTCCGCCGTAATCAGAGCATATCGAAATGAAATGGTCGAAAACGCACATAGCCACGTGAGTATTTGAACAGCAGTCTTTAGCAAGCAGAAAACTACCACAAAAAAATTAGTTGGATCGCCAGCAGAAACGCTTCTATGTGGAATCCTTGTTCTAGTACTTCAATATTCTTGAAAATTCATTTAGAAGATGTCATCATATATTTTCACGGTAGCGAATATAGACGGTCAACTACGTAAGAGCCAATGACCGAGATGAACGGTTGGTCGTCAGAGTGGTGACATTGTGTCGAATTTCCCAGCACCATTCCGCCGTCCATAACGATCTCGTTCGACACACTTCAATTCAAATGGTGCATGGAATGGCGAGAAAATGAATTCCTGGCATAAATTCCGAGTGACACGATTTCACTTCGGCCCTGTGAATCGAGTGCTAAGAAATGAGGGGTTGGAAAACGCAATTTAATTGTCCACTGATCCGCCGAATTATACATCCTTGTGGAGCTCAAGTGTAGTTACTGTAGCTAACCAGTCTTTAATCATTCTTCTAAGACCAGTAAAGTATGGCACGTAACCGTAGATCTAAAATAGTTCCTGAATGGCTGCTTTGACGAAGATACGGTGTTCCTCATAAGAATCTTACCAATCCGAAGCTTCCGATTCTGTATTGTGGATAGAATATTGACTGGCTTACGGAAAGTTCACTAGTGGGGCGCCATCGCTTCGCGCATACACATATGGTGTGAGATGGCGCGAAAGTGAAAGCAGAAAGAAAAATGATGGCGCGATCTTTTCCATTTCCTCTCTCATCAACTTCCATCGCCCCTTGAACCTCCACCACATTCATCAAAGTCTCAATTATCATCTCAAGCTGTAGTAACCTTGAGCTCATCACTTCTTTTCGGTTCACGTCCGCTCGTAAATTGCAACTTTGTTATATCATCAATTTTTCGTGCCTTCCAAAACTCTGTTCGTTCGAATGATAGGGAAATAATACGATTTAAATATACGTGGACAGCTACAACTTGCTAGAGACTAGATGATTCATTGCGTCTGCACAATTCTGCCAATAAATCGCATTTCCTGTTCGTTTTCTGGATCGGAATTCAACGTAGTTGGAGTGGAACAAGTGCTGAGATAACAGCCAGCAATGATTCCGTCACGCAGGTAGTACTGGATGCCACTGGTTCGTTGCCAAGTGATAAGCATCGAGCAGCCGCCGCAACGCACTCGACCCGGTCGCCAGCACGTCACGCATTGTCGTCGAGGGTCTGATGACGTGCTTGGCCTCATTGAACGCTCGCTAACAATATGCAACACTTCTGGGAACTATGATCTGGGAAGGTCATGTGGGCGCCTAGGAGGAGAATTTACCAATGGATTCTATGAAACATTATTTCCTGTCTGAGAACACGAGAAAAATCCATGCTTTCAACCTAAGCATTTCAAGTTTATGGGACACTTTTTTTAACCGTGTATTGATTAGATTCTAGGCAATGACAAAGTTTGTTCCCCTTATTCTTCACAGTATTTTCGAACTGTGTGCTTCATCTTATGAATCTCAACTCAACGTTTATTCAATTAAAGAACATTTGAAAGCCTTCCCACGATGTGCTTCCCTTACACAACCACTTTTTCAAGAAATATTTCTCCTGCACGTTTTCCATTGTCGTAAAGACTCACCGGAAGTTAGTAGTCAAGGATCGGTCATCGTTTTTTTTTCTTGACGATTTGGGACGACACCAATCTATGCGAGGGTCAAAGGTCAGTATAGTGTTATGTCACTCACTTCATCATTATAAGAGGGTCATTATAGAAGTCACAGCTGTTGAGAGAAGGTTAGGTGGAGAATGTGGGAGTGGTTGACAGTGAGAGCGCATAGATATTCGCTATATAGGAGCCAGACGAGAAGACCAGCTGAGATTCGTTTTATTAAGCACTCAACAGGTCAACCAGATGCTGTCGTTCGGATTAACAAGAGATCCATTAAAACCAGCCAGCTTACCCGTTTTCAGTTCCTTCATTTTTCTTCATACGTATTCAAAATTCCGTAATCACTCCATAGTAACGGGTTGAGCGTCTCCGAATCAGCCACAGCAACGACAAGAAAGAGGTGATAACACGAAAAGTGAAGCTTGTAGGGCCTTTTAACTTACTGAAACGTCTTGTGAATGCAGAGTGGGAAATAGTTTCTGTTTTAATTGGTAAAGTTACATAGTAGACGAATGCTTCTCCAGAAGATCACCGTTGATGGTCGATTACTCTTCCACGGACGTGACCGAAACCCAGTTCTTGAAACGGATCTGGTGAACATTTTGAACGATTTCGACGAAACAGATGGCGAACCCGTACATGCAATTTGTACACACGCGATTCGTGATTAGCACATGGCGCCAGACCACGAGAGGTTACCCAATTTGGGTTCGCCTGCTCAGAGATCGGGCTGCAACGCTCTCGGAACCAGTTATAAGTGAGAAGACTCATTAAGCATCGACGGAAAGGAGCCACCGATCGACCATGTGACGCACCAACCGAACCACTGATAGTATCGGGACAGCCAGAGAAAAATCGGAATGCGATCACTTCTTATTTACTGCCTATTCTTTTCTTCATGGCAAGATATGACATGAAATATAACCACAATGATGCTGAGATATTTGAAAAACTCTGAACCCTCAGATGTCTGCCGTGGCGATCGAACACGCTATTACCCTTTCTCGAGGCTAACGCGTTCACCACCACACCATGCGGATCCTCCGTCTCGCCTTTCTCAGAGCCGTTAATAGTCGGAGTGTCACCAATAGAAATGATGAATTGTGATAGGGATTCCACTGAAGTTTTTTCTCCACATAAAAACGTAGCATGACCTCACGTCACGTGACTGAAGCGATTTCATCGTAAGTTCAGCGGGTCTTTTCAGACGATGAGTTCGATCCGTCATGGCGATAGCGCGCTTTTTGATGATCGGACCAGAAATGCCACCACTCCGGTCCGGATTCGTTCGTCAACGGCCGGTGGTCTCGCTCAGGTCTGAGTTCCCCAGAGGGTTTGAGGGCCGCGAGAGGGCCGGGTGGGGTCGCGTGGGCCGCGTGAGGTCCGTCTCCGATTACGCAACGCCTCGCGGCGCCTCACGGCCGATCGATCGCCGTCGCGACCGGATCGCTGCCATTCAAATTCTTCTAGCGACAGTGTCGGAGTTTTTGCTCTTGTATTCGCCATCTCTTCATCGTTTTCTACTGAATGGTCTTGATCCAGTGTATGCTTGTGCTTGACAGTCTCTACCACTCGCTGAACACTCGTTTTCTTGTCCACTTTCATTTCTTGTTGTAGAAATTTCGTCAGCGATGGAAAATAGTAGCCCCGGCAACACGCGAAGGATAAGACGATGCCTTTTCGGGAAACCCAGTCGTTATGAGGTTTGTCGCTGTTGGGTTTCTGGTCGTATGTTGATTCTGCTGTTGTGATATCGACCATTTTTGTTGTCGTCGGTCGAAATCCTACATTTATTAGGTTGAAAAGTGGTTGTCCGAAACAGACAAGAAGCAGTTGAAGAGCAGCAAAGAGAAGTGGAGTTACGACTTCGAGTCTGACACCCCAGTTGGCGGAGATGTGGAATACGAAATACTTTCGGCTGACAAGGTATGGTTTAGTATCTCCTGACTAGTTAGCAGTTTTGGCGGAACACTTCTTAAAAATTCAACTCAGGTACCATCTGTATACAAACCGTACACCGTTGGTGTTAGGAAGGTAAGGAAAGTAGCTGAGTTTGACCCAAATATTCCATCGGTATCGAAAGAACCAGAAAGCGATTATAGTTCGAATCTCCACCGACCTCTGACAAGGTAACTATTTCCTGGCTACTTTTAACAGACAAAATTATTCAGCTTGGCATGAATTTTTCAGATCTTTTATGAAACAACATGGCGGTGATGTCTCAAGAAATTTGAGGAACTTAAAGCAAGCGAAGCTCACAAGTGAGTCCATTGGTTTTTGGTTGGGTTTGTTCTACGTTCAAGTTTTCTGAGTAGTTCGGTTAGTACTATGTGCAGAACTAGCGTCTGTTTTGAAATCCTGATTTGTTTTTGAATGACGTCATCCCCTGTCATTGTCAGCATCTGGTTTGTTTTTACTGCTTTTGTAAACATCTATATGAGTTTATTATAATCCTGTGCATTCGTTTTTGAACTCTCTTGAATGATCCACTGTTGTTCACAGTAGTATTCTATGTTGTTTCGCTCTTTATCACTGTTAACTTTTTTAAGGCATAGAAGCTTGAAGGGATCAGCGCTATATTGTGTATAAAATTATGCCCTCATGACATTGAGGCTACGATCTTTCGTTTAATTTGACCTTGTTCTATTTATTTGAGCACGTAGCTTAGAAATATAGTATAGTTTACTGCGTCGTCTGCTGAGATTTATAGTGACTCACTATCGCGAAGTTTTGGTTCGCTTTGAGAAACAATCGAGCTGTTCGAGGATTGTGAGAGATTCGATTTAAAGCTTAGTGACAGAAGGAAATTCCGGATTTCAAATGTCTTGTTCGTACAGTTCCTTGTAGTTCATTCTCAAACCGAGTACAACAAGTTCATAGAAGACCTATTCTACACGTCAGGTGTGCCACCTGTCTTGTTTTGCTTTGATATGGGTGTTAGTCATCGGTATAGTCTACGTTTTCATAACGGTTTCTCGTTGAACATGAGCGATTTGCCGTCCTTCGTTGAGTCCGAGGTCAATGGATATAATAACGGGGGGTGCTGTCATGTATTCAAGGACATGCATGAATAGTCCTCCATAATCGCAAGTACGTCTTATACTTTTGGCACGATTTTAAGCAAGGGATGTGTGAAGAGTGCTTGTAATATAGCTAAATGAGCGGCTTAAGTGAAAGTTTGTCTCTGAAATTACCACATGATTCGACGTTTTCTTGGAAGCAGGAAATTATTTAGAATAGGAAGTGCCATCTTTCGTTTAGAAGGTATCTCGCGGCTTTCTCAGGTTCACTTTTTACGCTCCGATAGACCCAGTGGTTTTGGAATTCTCGAGGGAAGTTGGAATGGATCCGGTTCCATGCGTTATATATTGGCGTTCAGGACGGCTTAAGGTGTCGTTAATTTATTGGTTTAATCGCCTTTACCCTACATGCTGTCGGGATTGCAGGCGCTTGGTTGGAGCTGCAAGAGTACGTGATTCATTGCGTCACATGAATAACGTTTTGGGTTTCTCAAAATTCAATACGAGGAGAGGGTTCTATTTACGTTCATCTTTAATTGGATTGCTTTGTTAACAAAGACGCCTCCATTGTATCACCTGAAAAATGGAGTGTTCATGGTAACACGATAGGAAGTAATTCGTTGAATAGAATGCACAACTTTTTTGCTGCTCTTTTGGTAGCAATGCAGTGGTCTGTTATCACTACGGCAACATTTTCATTTATATTATGCATCTGGAAGAGACATGGAATCGACCGAGCACTCCGGGCTCACTAGATCCTCCACATCCTGCGGAGTCGGCAAATTGGTACCAGACTTGTCTGCGAGGATAGCAGCACTGACTTGATACATCGCTAAGCCATCGCGAGTCATTGTAAAGGCCACATATGCATTCATTCACCTCTAACGACGCAGCGATGCTTAAAGGCGAATGCATGGCTCATCCCTCAGGGATTGGTCAACGCCTTGAGCTTTAAGAGCTTTTGACCTTTAAGATGATTTGATTGATCCAGTCAGAAGCAGTTCATGGTGATGTTCAAGCTACTGATGCGTGTAGTCGTATGAATTCATACGTTTCATCTTGTTTTGTTTGGTGGAAAGCCGTATAAGCTCGAATTCCAAAAGGAGAACCTATATGCATGACATTTAAATTGAAGTTAATTTTCATGGATATGCAACCCTTGGGTTTAGTCTCCTTCACACAGTGTATGTTCTTACTTCGTCGATGATTCGTGGTTGCCTTGCAGGATTTGCGCAACAACAGCTCAGTCATGCGAGGTGCGGAGAGTCTTTTATTCTCGAGTTAGATTCCCTGATAAAGATGTGATCGTTTGATAACATTACACCGTCCTCGCTTCTAGATATACCGCGCGATGAGAGAAAATCATCTGTTCAGAATGCTTTGTGTATGTCCAACACTCAGGGAACGACTTCATGGTTGCTCAGCCTGCTATAACTGTATGTATAGATGCACTTATTCCATATTTTTAGATTATCTCAAAGTCCGGAAGCGTCGTACTGTTGAATCTCACTCTCCAAAACGTACTGCCTCATCTTTGAGGTCGATAAAATCTGCTCCTCCAAGCAGTCCTTTTCGGTTGGTTTCTCATTTACGTGTGATGTAGTGATTGAAATAGTTTATGTTTTTCAGGTTCGTCAACGATGTTGATGGTAACGGTTTTAGCCCAGATAGCAATTCTCCGAGGAGTTCATCTAGCAGCCCTACGAAGAGTCCCAGGAAGCGTTCTTCTCAGCATATTATGAAGGAACGTCCATTGCGAGTTACAAAACTGCGTTCGCATGCCGTTGTTGACCAATAACCGTTTTCAACGTCGATCCTTGTAGACCAAAGTGAGTGTTCTGACTTTTCTTGCATTTATATTCCTTCTCGATTTAAACTTTGGTTTCAAAAGGGTGTATATTTTTGCAAACTACGAAGTGTTTCAACATTTCATCAATATATTGACTTAGTGGTGCGATTTAAATTATTGGATGCGCTTTCTGCAAACAGCGTAGTGGCGATTCGAATTGAATAGGAAATAGTAATCAGCTGGCTGATGTCAACGTCGGTATCCTGCTGTGGTGCAAGCGGTTTGGCTATTGTGTCCTCATGTCCATCCTTTTGAACCAGCCGTTGTTGATGGCCACTATGGTCGGCGATCGGATCTGATTTGGCTGTCTTTATTAATTGGTCAAATTGAGTGAAAATCCAGTTCTTTCCATGATAACTAGGTTTTGGTGTTGCGTACAATTCTTTGTTTCTTCTTTAGAAGAAAAGCTGTATTTGAGGCTTCAAATGTGAATCTGATCCGGAATGGCTGACATAACTGGAAGTAGGTTATACTTTTCCTACTGGGTCGGCAGTACACTCGACTGATGCAGAACTTTGGCACTACTCTTTGTTCGGACGAGGCATTAAATGGCTTTGATTCTACCGGTTCCTTTGTGGGACACTTTTGTCGCAGAAGCAGAGGCGAATCGCGTGTTGATGAATGAGGTGGAGTGTTCTCATCTATTCACTATTCGCAACGAAGTGTTGCGTTTTCGGGACGTTAAATCAAGATTTCTGTGGGAAGTTCTGTGTTTGCAACAGAAACAAATTCCAAAAATAGTCTTTAAATCGATTTTTTCAGAACCCAGCGGCCCTTGCCAGTACTTTTTCTTACTGTTGGCCATGTGTATTAACGAGACACTTGCGCAGCTGTGCACGTGTGCGCTTTCTAGACGATAGTGGTTGTTTTTTCCCCACTGTCCGTTTTTCTACGTTGGATTTTTAGGCTTATGAGGGTTGTATCTTTAGCAGAACAATATTACATTCACAAACCAATGTGATTTTATGTGACTAGCCTGATAATGGAGGTATGTGTGCTGTAAAACATCCAGTCGGATTCTGTGGTATTTGAAATGTTCGTATTTCTTTCACTACTGTTTTTTTGTGGCAGCGGTAACGTAAAGGATTTGACAGCGAACTAATACCCATTTGCCGAGCGGAACAATAGTCGTTCAGGGTATGTTGGGAAGTAGCAAGCAGCAGTGGCTAGGGAACAAATATGGATTGCAGTTACTCAACATTAATGGATCTTCTTAACGCTGCCCGTTGATTATTTCTTAATTATTTCAAACATATTTTAATATTCACTCACCGAATTCTACGGAGAAGCTGCACGATTAACTTAGGAGCAACAAAATAATATCAAGAAGCAGGCAACTAGTGTCCCTGCGTCATTAACTACCATTTTACCTTATTTTCCCGCGTTTTAACTTGGCGCAGAAATAGTTAAAGACTGGAATGTGATCCTTAAATCTTTATAAATAGGCTTAAACGTAAATTTATTTTAATTAAAAACCAGTGCAACAGGTACACTTTTTATATTGAATTTGTTTACTTCGATAATGTAAAATTCTAGGGGTCTGGAAAGAAATTCTTCGAAGACAATTTGGCAGCGGCATGAGTATTGAAGTTTTTCCGTTATGAGTTGTTGCCGAGGTTCTTGAAAACTGATTGTCAGTTGGCCGGAGTGCTGGTGATATGATAGGTGAAATTTCATAACATAAGTCGTTTAACTTCTACGGTGTCATTTGTATAATTTTTGGTGAAGCGTCTTGGATAAGGATTTGATCTTATCCTGTTGAACAAAGCAGGTTAAATTTACTGCAGTTTGCGAGGGAATTCATTGATTTTGTGAAGGTAATTTCAGAAAAAAGAAATTTCAGAAAATTTCAGAAAAAATATAAGCTCTGCTTTGATTGTTTTGCCAGGATTTACACTGTTAAAGTGAATGCTTCTATAGTTTAACCACCAAACAGTAACCATAATTTTCTTCTGGAAATCCAGGCTCGAGAAGGTTTTAGGAGCTTAGTCTCTGTGCAGCCACAATATTCAAATTCTTGATTTTCGTATAGGATCCATTTCTCGTTGCAGATCGCAACGCGGTCGACAAATGGATTGTTTTTGTTGCGTAGAAGAAGCGGAAACCAAATTTCAGAACGACGTTTTTAGAAATTTTCTTCCAGCTTATAAGGCATCCACATAGAGATTTGTTCCTCTTTCAACTTACTTCTAATACCAAATGATCGTAGAGTAGCCGGCGTTTTGTTTTTCGGCAACTTTTCCTCTACCTCTAAGAATATCAGTTTCGATAATTGGTTGGTCGTTGCGAGTCTCGAATGGCCAACCACTGCTACAATTTCAACGCCTTCGTCTTCTTTTTTCTTTGCAAAACCTCTTGAATAATCACTCCATTGTGCTTTCGTTGGCGGTTCCTAGACCTAATACGTTGTTGGACCATACGTTGAGGGCAAATCGCATAAGAGTTATATGCGGCGTGAAAATATATGTTTAGGAATGTACTACAATGTTAAGAAGCAAATTTAAAGATTTATAGTCTTCAATTACTTTGTACCAAGTTAGTAATGTATAGTAGCAGGCCAGCACTCTGGATAGTTAAAATTGTAAGTGTCGAGAAATATGCTAGAACGTCTGTCCTCTTAACACGATTCTCTAAAGCATCATGTGCGGTTAAACGTTGAATTCTCCACCTTCCATCAGTCACCTTTTCCTATCAGTCGAAGTGGGTTAAAATGGAGTTGGAGATCTTAGCGGCGACCGTGCAGAAATGAGTGGGAGAGGCACTGCCTGCTTGTTTTTCCAGACTGCTGGAAGTACGAAGAACAATGGTCATTCATATGTATTTTTTAAATGATGTTTTTATTCTTCCTCAAAATTACCTGGTCTATTTCTTTTTTTGGTCATTTTGTTAATCTTGGCAGCTTCACCTGTATCTTTTGTTGAATTGTACGGTTCAAATGAGACAGTTTGTGGAAATTATAGTCGTGTGGTGGGACATCTCATTTCCTACAAACGATAACTCTGGTAGAGAATAACTTTTGAATTTTTCTGAGAACCGAGCTGACTTGTTTATTGTTGCTCAGTACTCATCTCCTCCGGTGTTATCAGATTGTCTGTGTGCCGAGGTCGAAAAGTTACGCAACTTGGTTGGCCCTTTCGAGTTATGTTGTGTTTATCGGACACTATGTGACGTTATGTTATGTGACACTTTTATGTTTCAGTGAAGAAAAGCTCATTTCCAAGAAAAAGTTCTTTTAGTTCCAGCGATTCGCGAATACTCTGTGGGCGAGGTTCATATGAATCGGCATGTTGTAGTCGAAGTTTTAAGTCGAATGTTTAAGGACACAGCTGTTGTGATATGAAAAGTGGTGTCTCTTCTTCTTGTAGCTTCTCATTCTGTTCATCTTTGTATATTTGATTCTTTTTCTGAGGTCACTAAAAGTGTACATATTTCATTCATAATTCCTCTCTCTTATCTGACGAAATTTTTACACATTTCCAGAGATAGTGCACGGGCTATCAGTGTGGTGGTTTTTCCACCTGAATTTTTGGTATTTTTAGAGTTTATTATAGAGGTTTTATCTAATAAAAGATGTTCTGTATTGCGTAAGCTCCTCGTGGTCTACCAATGCGCCTAGAGTTCTTTGTGATTTCACTTTCCTTTTGCCCAGATGGCGAATTTTCGCTGTTGTTGCCTTGTCGTTGCTTTTCTTGATGATCACCGATGTGTCTATGGAGCTGTGCATTGAACAATGAATGATTTAAGACAAAGTGTTGATTGTGCTGAGGTATGGCTGCATACGGTACCGTGTTTGTGGAATAATGTGAATTCTACGAATGTACAAGGATTTTTACAACATTAAATGTTTTGTGTTCATTGTTTGCTCAGAGCGCTAAACTCGTTACTTGTTGTGCGGTTGATTCACATTTATTCTCCACCTTATAGTTATTAACCAGGGCAAGGAGAAGTGGCTATGGTTTCTTAAAAATCCTAGCCATCGTCTTGATTGTCTAGTGACAACAGTGCCAGTGTGGATTCGGAATACCAGCATTTCAGAACTGTCATTTATTTATTAGGCCTTAGATTCCAAACATTTCCGAGGCTAGGCTTTCTCGATATTTGTATGGAAATGTGAGAGTTTAGCTTCCAGGCGGGTACTGCTTCAAGCGGTTGTGTTCGGAAAGGTTCTATCCAATCATTACATATTTTAGTCGGAATTACTGGGCATACATTTGTGTAAATTGTTGCGGTACTCGATCTTGAACACCTTTCATATTCGCAAACTATGTAGAAGGGAGCTTTTCTATATAAAGAAGCACAATTGATATCCTAGTTGGTCTTTTTCGATGAATTGTGTGTTATGGGATCGTGATCTTATGTTTCAAATGTAATCAGGATAAGAGAGAAAATATGTGTAGGAATACATGGCTCATGTTTTCAACTGAGCTTCTAACAACAACAAATTTAACAAATCTCCCTTGATTTCGAAAGGTGGCTAAATATTAAGCCTTATCGGGTGAGATTCTGTTGACTTTTTTTGGTACTTTGGATGAACATAACTTTTCTAACTATCGGAAGACGAATTGTATAGAATCACGTCTTGCGACAGACACTTAGCTGCCACTTTGTTCAAGGATGATGGGACTGTATGATTTGACGCCGGACGTACTTTTGCTGGTTGGGCAAGTTTTTCTTCCTGGAATGTCAAGATAGTCGTACCAGGACGTTCCAATATTCTCACCATTAGGTGTCGTCGGTCCTTCAGTAGTTCTTTCGCTTTGTGACTAAGATTATGCTGAGGTGATAGCGTCTGGCACCTTATTTATTTTTAGTTTTGCTTCCCGATGAAGGCGCCACTGAAGTTAAGAATATTGCAGAATGAATTTATCAGATGTTCGACTTACAGAATATGGAGAGATTGGAACTTAATAGTCAAGTTATTCTTGTGCCGGGCATGATGAAGGAGAGCGGAGTTTTCAAACAACAATTGTGATATTGTGGACAAGTGCAGTATAAGAAAATCTCTAGTGAGAAATGTTATTTCTGAGGGTGGCCTAGAACGCATGTCATTCTTGTCATCCATCGAGAGGTCTCTGAGGAAGGTGACTGACAGCACACTACCAAAGGCCGCATGGAAGTGGCATCAATCTTCGCCGATCACTTCGAAAACGTTCTTCGAAGACGCAATCACTTTGACGGCTGTGTCGGCTTTGTTATAACAGTTATAAATTTTTGATGAAATCACAGTGAACTAGTGCTAGTGCCTCTACATTTATTTCCTACATTATCCGACATCGCGTACTTTGCGGGAACTAGCGCTTTTCTTTCGATCCTTTCCTTCGTAACCATACTCCACCTATATCTTCGGTTTTTCCACGTGTAGGTTCGGCTGCTTGAAGATTTTCATCTTCTTTTGCGAATGTCGTCGAAAGCCGGTCGAGTCAACTACCTCTGGAGTTTTAGGATAGCCGTGCTAGGTAGTTCCTGCCTGAGTTGGAGGGAGTGGGCCGAACCCAGGAAAGTCTGATGTGAACTTTCCGGCCCTGCAGGAATGGGAGGTCTGGGCCGATGGTGGGTTGAGCCACCCGCTTATTGGCATCATAACCGCTATGTTACTCGCTGCTATCTCTGTATCAAAGATCCCAGTAGGTAGCCATAGTATTTTGTAGTTCTTTCCAGCTAGATTCGAAATATTGCTTACGGGTATATCAATGTCTACTCCCACCAACTACGAGTAAGCCTTTTGCAAGATTTTCGTGAAATCTAAGCCCAACTTGTAGGTAGCGTTACATCCGTCACACTATGATCGTTGCGTTAGCGTACGAATCGACCCACACTATGTAAGTGAAATGTTGTTGTTCTTAAACTACAGCCGTACAAGAATGAACAGAAATTCAAATACTACGTGGATTGACGTCGGCTTTTTTTTTCTAGAATTCCAGAAACATCACTGGAATTCAAAAGTGGCAATTTCCATGGAGAAAACAAGCTCGCTCCTTGAAATAACGGTTTTTTATCGGCTTGCCACGATGCGTCGATGAATTTGTTTTCAGCCAGCTGCTTGTTTTGGTGGAAAGTGTTATTGAAGAAATCTGACGGCCTGTCTTTCGTAACCGAAAGAATTGAAAAAGCTAACAAGGACGACGACCGTCGGTGCGTGTCGTGAAGTCGAGGGCAGTTGTTCGTCTTTGGCCGTAATCGACGTGAAGAATCTCGACTAGTCGTCTCAATTCCTTCTCTTCACATCGCAGTTCACTCACGCGTCAAATCGTTGTTGACGTCAAGTGTAATTGCATTACCAAACGACATCACATTGCAGAGAGCTGTCAGGTAACCGGAAAGGAACACACTCCGATGGGCCTACGTGTTCTCTTGGGCGACATTTATTTATATACTTCGTATCGGTGTCCACACGAACACATGGTCACCAACGATGTCAATTGTACTCAACTGGTCACTGATGGCACTTTCTTGTAGAATTCCGTTCATTTTGGTTGCTTCAGACTCAAGGGTAATACATATGTATTGGAATGGAATTCTGATATCGGTTTACCAAAAATGCCAAAATCTCATGAACCGTATTGTAATCCATTATTGTAAATCACGGTGAATATAAAGATTGAGGGGATCCTAGAGGGTAGGGTTTCACTTCGTCGCTTTCCCATCACTTATCAGCTTTTCGTAGTTCCAAACAAATTACATTGTTTCGAATAATGTTAATAACGAAATTCCCTGTTTTTAGCTCTTAGGTCTTTCTTTTATTGTCTGAAAATGCAAGTGGAATGTCTTAGATTCTCATCTTATGTTCGAATTTCAATGTATCTTTAGTTTTCACGCTCATGTTCTTCAACTGAGTGTTTCCTATTATATTAGGTGGTCAGCAAAATCTGCATGACTATTGTGGGAAACTATGGTCACGTAGTATACCAGGAATGGTTCCAGGCCACTCACGCAAACATGTCGGTGGTTCCAGATAGTCACCGTGTGCAGTAAGTTGCTCTGAACAACGCTGCTGGTGAATTGATGGCTTCTGGTTTGCTGAATGGATCAGCTGCTGACTATCGCAGTTCATTGCGGAAACCAGTTTCGCAACCATTTCCTCAGTGCATTCACTGAGAAACACAGAAGTACGACCGTTCATAGAGATGGATACTAATGGCATAACAGAGAGAGAGAGAATACCGCCCTCAAGTACAACGAGTACTAAGCTGTTTCTCAAAAAAAGTACTGCTTTGCTTTTACTTTACCCAGATATGGATATGTCTTCTGGAAATCCACTCGTAAATTTGCTTATCTTATACTTATAGCGTAGAAACTAATCTGCTACCTATGAACCTCCATAACCACGATGCCTTACCGCTTTGAAAGCCAAATGATGGCCTTGGTATTGATTCCTGCTCCACCGAACACAACTCACTCTTGTGCTAATAACTTAAAATTTTAAGAACTTTCTTAAAAGACGTTGGAATTTTCAGTTTTTCTTAGTACAACTGAACTTTCCAGTAAGTTTCTCTAAATTCATTCAGATATCCATTTAAGTCGGATTATTCCAATTCCAGATGTAGACTTCGCCTTTTTTTAATGCATGATACTTACCCTCAGAATTTTAGAGCTAGAAATTTGTTTGTTTCACAAATCACATTTATTGAACGCCTGGACTCTTTTGAGTCAAACGAACACAGGAGCCTTGAGGCCAAATGGATCACGACACTGAGTAGAGTCGAGTCGGGTGATTTGCGGCAGCAGGCGTATCGCTTTTGCTCTGAATTCACAAGGATTACTATTTCTCGACGTGGAAGAGAAAGTAAGCTGCAAAAGAAGAAGTCTTATCATGATGATTAGGAAGCTGTTTGGAGAAACCGGTTGATGCCTGTAAGGGTTCTTTGACACTTGACACTTGAGTGGCCCGTCGTCCCTGGTTACGTGGGATCCAGCATAATCTCCATTTTTCGGAGATTTGCTGATTCACTTATCGTGGTTCCCTGGAATCCCGAGCTCAGCTTGGCTAGTCTGCCCAGCTCTTCACCACCACAGGCAGTCGCAGCCCTTGTAGATCAGAGAGATATTTGCCACCATGCGACTCTGATACCAGGACAGTGGTGGATCCTGGTATTGGTTTACTCTTAGCTAGGCTTCCTGATCGATGCGCTGGACTCATTCTCAGCTTGGGAAACCATGGCAGGGGTTGAATCCCCCGCTATACATCTGACACCTAGGAACACCCCCCACCCACGAGGCGATAAACCGTTGGGTGATAATGGTTGTTTAGGGTTGGATATCCTAAATGCTTTGTAAGGAAAAGGCGATAGTCGTCATTATTTCACCAAAAAGAGCTTTTCTCATAACTAATACATTTACTTAATTTTCCTAATGGTTATAACCAAGAGGAATCGGACCTGTATTCCTGCACTTGAGAAAACGGGTTATTCTCGAGGTAGACTAGGTTCAGCTGCGGCAACTCAACCAACTCGTCGAAGACCTGCCAGTCTTCCAGCTAGAAATTGTAAAACTTCCATTCCTGACAAAATAATAATTTTCTGCGATTCTCAAGCGAATGTCCAACCGAACTTCGGAACATTGTAAGCATAATTCATAGGAAACAGAAACTGAGCTTGTTAATATAGAATTTATTAGAACACAATTGCTGACGTTTCGGCGGTTTCGCCTTCTTCAGAACCTGGAAAGGTCAAATTTAGATGTGATCTACTCAGCCAAACACTTTCACAACCCTAGCAGATAAAACTTGACAATTCGATTTGCATTCGCATAAGAAAAATGCCAAAAATTCAAAAATGAACCGCAAGGAGGAGTGTCTTGTCATCACGCGTGACCTAGCGCCATACCTCAGGCTGATCCAATGATCTGACATGGACCCAGTTATCGACCATGTATTACTCTGTGCGGCGGCTATCCACCAACTAACTTAAATACTTACAACAAATAAACGGTAGGTGTTTGAATGAAGCTGTTTCTTATGCGAATGCAAATCGAATTGTCAAGTTTTATCTGCTAGGGTTG